AAGTCTTATCTTGATATTGTCCTGACAAAGTCTCCATGACTTGTTAACTCAATCACTCCCTGGAAATGCAGAGATACATTCTCCTATAATAAAGTGACTTCCCCTCCAGCCACTAGTCAACACCTGTAAAGCAAGGTACGACTCAGCAAGCCCGTGTACCTTCTACCATGCTCACAAGTCACTTCCCGGATATCGCGGAGACGCCATCTCCCATGCTGAGATGACTTCCCTTCCAGTTTCTAGCTGACACTTGTAAAGAGAAGGATGACTATTAAACCCTTCAACGATGCACTGTTCTTTCTCTTTACTTTCTTTTCGATACAGTTTTATCTTTTACCATCTACTTCTTAATCATTTAGCTAAGATAAATGATAAATTTCAAAACTAATTCACTCTTTGCATGGCCTAATGAAGCAAATTTTATATAATAATAACGACACACTTGAAGAAATATAATTTTTTGTTGAAAATGTTTATCGGTATTACAAACGTTATGGAACATATTTAGGAATTTACTTATTTTCTATTTAAAAAAAAGAATATCCTTCATGAGCAGAATGAAATTAGTACATTAATCAGCTAAATTTCTATGAATACTTTTATATTTAATCGCTATACCTTAAAATTTTCTATTGAATTTGCATCAATGTCAGGTTCAATTCTAGTTGTCATCTTTGAAATTATTTACAACCAGGTTCGGGCTCAAACCTAGACCTTCAAATGCGGAACAGAACCACATGGTTAGATCGGAGTCGTACTTAGATAACCCGGACCCACAATAACTGTCAGAAAAGTCATAGCGGATCTTGTTTAAACCCACCCATCCATCCCCAAAAAAATTCTCATGCTCCTAGTAAATAGTACAGTATTCTACTCTTACGCCTCGTTTGGTACACGAAAATGGAGTCAAGTGAGAATGGAAAGAATGTAGGAATGAAATGGAATAGATATGAGAATAGAATGCACATTCTCATTCTCATTGTCATGTTTGGGCGCGTTTAGAGAATAAAACAGGAATGACAATCTTATTCTCATTCCCATGTTTGGTATTATTTGTTCACAAGTGAGAATAAAATTTAGTTTTCTAATAATGCCCTTGCAATAACACAGAATTTTTAAAACATAAAAATATTTTAAAAATAACTAAATAATTTATTTATTTTAGAAAAATTAGTTTTGTAGTAATGATATTTTTTATTATAGAAATAAATTTTCAGTTGATAGTTATATTTTGATACACCGTCTCAGCAACAATTTCGGACTTTTGGCTTACTAATTAAAAAATAATTTTTATAGAAATTATTTTTGATTATAAATAATTATAATTCTATATTTTAAACTTTTAATGCTACATGTCTATTACTTGTACGAGTAGCTAATGCTACTAGCATCACTGTACACAAATGTATACAATAGACTGAATTCCATGTGCATACATGAAGAGAGAGATCAGAAGGAAACACTAAAATTCAAAGGATTGGAAAAATATGTTAACTTTTAGTCTGTATATAAAATTTCTATGAAATTTAAAATGCACTTTTAACTTTTAAAAAAATGATTAGGAATAGAAAACATGTTAACCTAGAAAGTTTGAAGGAATAGAAAACATGTTAACCTCTAATTAAAATATAAAGTTTCAATCTCATCAATTAAGCACATTATTTCTTGTTGTGAGTGCTTGAAAAAATTAC